ATCATCTTTGTGGCCCTTCTCTGGACCCTCTCCAGCCTGTCCACATCTTTTTTGTATAGCGGGGACCAAAACTGAACACACTCTGCCAGGCGTGGCCTGACGAGGGCTGAGTAGACTAGGATAATGACTTCTTTATCTCTGCTGGTGATGCCCTTGTTGATGCAACCCAGCATCCTGTTGCCTTTCTTTGCCGCAGCAGCACACTGTTCACTCATATTGAGCTTGTTGTCCACCAGGACCCCCAGGTCCCTTTCCACAGAGCTGCCCCCCAGCCAGGTAGATCCCGGCCCGTGCTGCACTCCTGGATTATGTTTTTCCGGGTGCAAGACCTTACACTTGTCCTTGTTGAACTTCCTAAGGTTCTTGTTAGCCCACTCTTCCAGCCTATCCAGGTCTTCCTGCAGGGTGGCTCTGCCTTCCAAAGTGTCCGCTTCCCTGCTTAGTTTGGTATCATGGCAAACTTCGTCAGGGTACACTTGATCCCATCATCCGGATGACTTATGAAGATATTAAACAGCGTTGGGCCCAATATCGATCCCTGGGGGACCCCACTTGTGACAGGTTGCCAGTTTGAAAAGGAGCTATTTACCACCACCCTCCGGGTGTGGCCTGTCGGCCAGTTCCCCACCCACTGCACGGACCACTTATCTAGACCGTAATGCACCAGTTTCCCCAGGAGGAGGCTGTGGGAAACCGTATCGAAAGCCTTGGAGAAATCCAGGTAGACAATGTCCACTGCTCGCCCCACATCAACCGAGCAGGTTACTTTGTCGTAGAAGGCGATCAGGTTTGTCAAGCACGATTTATTCTTGGTGAATCTATGCTGGCTTTTCCCAATCATGTGCTTCATTTGACTTGTGATAGCCCCCAGGAGGATTCGTTCCATAACTTTCCCAGGGCCTGAGGTAAGACTGATGGGCCTATTATTTCCTCAATCCTCCTTTAAGCCCCTCTTGTAGATGGGGGTGACATTAGCCTTCTTCCAGTCTTCTGGGATGTTCCCCTGTTCTCCATGACTTCCCAAAGATTATGGAGAACGGTTTTGCAATGACATCAGCCAGCTCTCTTAACACCCTCGGGTAGTTATTGTCAGGGCCCATCAATTTGTAGGGGTCAAGCTCCTGTAATAGTTCACATACCAACTCTTCCTTCACTGATGGTGGGTCTGTCTTTGCATCGACCTGGATTTTTGTTCCCAAGGCCCAACAGTGCTGGTAAAAACAGAGGTGAAGAAAGTTTTGAGAACCTCTGCCTTTTCAGCGTTGTTGGTGACTAATTGACCTCTTCTGTTTAACAGTGGGCCAATATTTTCCATCTGTTTCTGCTTGTTTAGCTACCTGAAGAATCTTTTCTTGTAGTTTTCAACATCTCTGGCCAATTTCTATTCGAGTTGAGCTTTTCTAACTGCATCTCTGCACGCCCTGGCAATGCCCTTGT